GATCAAAATGATCCATATTCCAAATAAAAATGTACATCATATTTCGAAAGGAAACAAAAGCTCAATAGCAATTGATGAGCACAATGAGAATTTGGAACCAATATATTCGGATTAGGAAGCCTTACGCAAATGGCTGTCCTCGTGTCAAGTGAGATATGAAATTTGTACCTTAACCGAATTTGAAAATTAACGCACGATCAAACGAAAATTCACGATCAAGTTTGATTTGTCCGCGTGCCTAAAGAATGCATAAACGGGTTACTATTTACAAAGCATAAAAACTGTAATATAACTATTCTAATAAAATTACTAGGTCTTAATGTACTTAAACAACATAGACTTCAAGAAAGACAGTCGGATACGAATTGAAAACTCAAACGTAAAACTTAGCCTTATTCTCTTTCGATCCAACCGCTTCCGACCCTCTTATTTCTAAGCATTTTTATCTTACTTAGAGACCAATCCAGATTATATTGTCTAAATGAAAGTTGTAGGTTGGTATTATACGAGTCTGTTTCTTTTGAAATCATCTCATTTGGATCATCCATCTATTTTATATGAATTTTACAAAACTGCAAATTTATCCCGAATACAGTGTAAACATCCCCAAAAACACACTGTTTTGAGCCACCTAGAGTCATAACTAGATTTTCGACTCTCATAAAAGTTGTAGTATGCAGTAAGATCTTTCTGATTACAAAATACGAGCTTATTCCGATATACGGTTTGTGAGTTATACACTACCAAAGTACAGAAGTTGCATTGCCGGTAAAATTCGATTCCGTAATTCCCGACTAACTTTTATGATCCAACTTTCATGATTCACTACATTTACATGTTATAAACATATTTCAACATACTAAACAGTAAAACAAGTCTAATGGTCATTAACCTAAGCTTAATCATGCATTTTTACACTTTTCGACATTTAACCGAACAATTGGTGTACGGTTAAACATATACCCACAATCTAACCATATTGAAACTATAATATACCCTTTTCATTTCTACATCAATTTAACCAGTCCTAGCATTCTAAGCATCAAATATATCATAATTTTGACAATATCAATCTGTAAACTTAGACATAAACAAAGTTTATAAACCGGTCTTAAGAACCCTAACATAAACACCATAATAAAACTGAATGAAATTTATACCTTTAAGAAAGGTTCGTAGAGTGGATTCCGAATATATAATTGTTCCCTCGATCCCTTTAGTAACTTGACGTAAAATTTAGAGAGAAGACAATAGATTTTTAGAGAGAGAATCGAGAAATACAGAGAATGAGACGGCATGGCGGTTCATTGACCGCCTTCTCATGCATCATATATATAATTTTTTTTTCTTTTTTTTAATTAATTTTTTATATATATATAAAGTTTAATCATTTGGCGGTTTTGACCCTTCAAGTCTAGATTCTTAACTTTATGTCAATATAGGTATAAACTCAACTTTTGTCACAAAACTAGTCTGAGGTACAAGTTGGTTAAACATAAGATACAAATATGTTATGCATAATTCTACCAAAAATTCATTTAACCCAATTTGTACAAGTTAACGAAACACGGATATTATAATCCTCCCCTTCTAAAAAGAATATTTCGTCCTCGAAATTTAGATAGGGTTAGAGGATTTACATGACTCGAAAAGATAAGAGTACTCCTTCCACATAGATTCCTCAGTTTCCCATGTGGCTTCTCGCTCAGAATGATTTCTCCATAACACTTTAACGAACGGTATTGACCTTCGTCGCATTTGTCTCTCTTCTCGATTAATCATTGTCTCGGGTTCTTCAGTATAAGAGAGATCTTTTTCAACTTTGTCCAATGGATAATCAATCACATGGAGAGGGTGATAATGATATCTGCAGAGCGACAAGATATGGAAAACGTTATGGATATGTGAAAGTTGATGAGGTAATGCTAGGCGATACGCCATCTCTCCAACCCGTTCAAGTATTTCGAAGGGACTGATATATCTTGGACTAAGTTTACCTTTAATTCCAAATCTACGAATACCTCGTAACGGTGAAACTTTTAGGATAACGTGATCACCCGTTTGGAACTCTAAATGCTTTCGATACTTGTCAATGTAACTTTTCTGCCGAGATTGAGCCTCTTTCATTTTCTGTTTTGCGATCTCGACTTGTTTAGTAGTAATCCGTACAAGTTCGGGTCCTTCAATAGCCCGTTCCCCTACTTCATTCCAACAGATCGGTGTTCTACATTTCCGACCATATAAAGCTTCGTATGGGGCCATGCCAATACTAGCTTGCCAACTATTGTTATACGCGAACTCCACAAGATATAGGGACTCGTCCCAACCACCAGACCACTCAAGAGCACAAGCCCGTAACATATCTTCTAATGTTTGAATAGTTCGTTTAGTCTAACCAACTATTTGTGGATGAAAAGTTGAACTCATGGTCAATCGCTTACCCCAAGCCTTGTGAAGACTTTTCCAGAATCGAGAAGTGAGTCGCGGATCTTGGTCCAATGTGATAGAAACTGGTGTGCCATGCAACCTCACGATTTCCCGCTGGAATAGATTGGACAGTTTACTAACAGGGTACATCTCCTGTATGGGTAGGAAATGAGCCGATTTTGTCAAACGGTCAACTATTACCCATATAGCATCATGTCGTCTCTGATTTTTCAGCAATCCTGTCACAAAATCCATAGAGATATGTTCCCATTTCTAAACTGGAATCTCTAATGGTTGTAAAAATCCGCTAGCCCGTTGATGTTCAATCTTCACTTTCTAGCAAGTAAGACATTTCGCCACGTATTCTGCTATATCTTGTTTCATACCGTTCCACCAAAAGTATTGTTTTAGATCTCGACACATCTTAGTGGATCCGGGATGAATTGAGAACAACGAATTATGAGCTTCACTCATAACTGCTTCTTTGAGTTCAGGATTGTTGGGTACACAAAGTCGATTAGAGAACCAGATAATACCTTTATCATCAACTCGAAAATTAGACTGTGAATCATCTTTAGCCTTTTGTAAGATAGCCCAAAGTTCTTCATCATCTTGTTGAGCCTCTTTCATTCGAGACACAAGAGTTGGTTCAACCGTGAGACTAGCCAAAAGTTCATTTGCACCACGATAACACAAAGTGATACCCATACGTTCTAGATCTGAAGCAATATGGGACTGAACGGTTAAAGACGATACATTACCAATGCTTTTACGGCTAAGGGCATCGGCGACTACATTGGCTCTGCATGGATGATATTGAATTTGGACGTCGTAGTCCTTAAGAAGTTCGAGCCATCGTCGTTGACGCATATTCAACTCTTTTTGCGTGAAGATGTACTTTAAACTTTCGTGATCAGTAAAGATATCACAAGTCTCTCTGTACAGATAGTGACACCATATTTTGAGTGCAAAAATGATTGCTACCAACTCTAGATCATGAGTAGGGTAGTTTACTTCATAAGGTTTGAGTTGGCGAGAGGCATACGCAATCACTTTGCCGTGTTGCATTAGAACACAACCAAGACCACTTTTAGAAACATTATTATAAACCTGAAAACCTCCCGATCCAGATGGTAATGAAAGAACAAGCGTTGTAATCAATCTCTTTCTCAGTTCTTCAAAACTCTTTTCATGTTCTTCACCCCAAACAAATTTAAATTATTTTCGAAGATGTTTAGTCATAGAGAGTGCGATCCAGGAAAAGTTTTCAACAAACCATCGATAGTAACCTGCCAGACCTAGGAAACTTCGGACTTYAGAAACATTTGTTGGTTTTGGCCAGTTAGTGATAGCCTCAACCTTTGCAGGATCGACTTTAATTTCTTCGCCGGATATAATGTGGCCCAAAAATGCCACTTGATGCAACCAGAATTCACATTTAGAAAACTTTGCATACAACTTCTTATTTTGAAGAGTTTCTAAAGTAATACACAAGTGAGTTTCGTGATCTTCTTTCGACTTTGAATATATGAGAATATCGTCAATAAAAACAATAGCAAAGTCATCCAAATAATCTTTGAAAGCTCGGTTCATAAGATCCATAAAAACTGCTGAAGCATTAGTTAACCCGAATGGCATAATAATGAATTTGTAATGACCATATCGAGTACGGAATGTAGTCTTAGGAATATCTTGATCTCTGATCTGGAGTTGGTGATATCCGGACCTTAAGTCAATCTTAGAAAAATACTTTGCTCCTTGGAGTTGATCGAAGAGATCATCAATACGAGGTAAAGGGTATTTATTAAGTACCGTGACCCGATTTAGTTCCCGATAGTCAATACACAACCGCATCGATCCATCTTTCTTTTTAATGAATAGAACTGGTGCACCCCACGGAGATACACTGGGTCGAATGAAACCCCGATTAGAAAGATCTTCAAGTTGTTCCTTAAGCCCTTTCATTTTGGTTGGAGCCATACGATACGGAGCCTTTGAGATGGGAGCAGCTCCCAGAACAAGATCAATTGTAAAATTCAATTTCCCTTTCCGGAGGAACTCCTGGAAGTTCATCTGGAAAGACGTCTTGAAATTTATTAACAACAGAAATATCTTCAAGTTTAAGGCATACCTCTTCGGGATCTTGTAGTGAAGCTAAAAATCCTTCACATCCTTACCATACCATTGCTTTAACATTTACTTCTGAGATAACACGAGTTCCCTTCTCAGGTGAAACACCCTAGAACACGTATTCGGGTTCATTGACGTCACCAAAGATGATTTGTTTGGATTTGCAGTCGATGGTCACTAGATGTTTAGACAACCAATCCATGCCAAGGATGATATCAAAGTGATCCATTTTCATCGGTAGTAAAGTAACTTTCCGAATTCGATCGCCAATAAATAACGCACAGTTTGGGAATTGACCAAATATACATACTGAACTACCCATAGGAGTAGTAATATGTAAAGGAAATTCAGTGAATTGTTCATACGATTTAAGATTTTCTTCGAAGTTTTCAGAAACAATCGAGTGTGTAGCACCTGTATCAAATAAAACATATGCATCTCTATCGTCAATAGAAATGGTACGAGAAACCATACCCGCAGTAGATTTGTCAGCAGATAATGTAAACACTCGACCACTAGCAGTAGATTGTTTCTCTTTATCTTTAAAATTATCTTTCGGCCCTTGTTTACAATCACGAGCTATATGACCTCGTTGACCACAATTATAACAGGCGCCGGTCATTCGAATACATGGGCCAGGACGATGTCTAAAACCACAATCTTTGCACCGTAACAGAGAATTTGTATTTGAAAAACCTTTACTAGAAGTTCCTTGAAATGCAATTGGAGGTCTATAATTCGGTTATTTCCACAGACCTATCCGATTGGTTCCTCGCCCGCTAGAATTTCCTTGAAAAACATCTTTGTTTCCTTTTGTACCATTGTTACCTCGGGGAAGTATAGAGTCTAGGATAATCCAAAAGAAAGTCAAAATTCCCCAAAAGCATGTCAAGGGTCCGAAGACCAAACCGCATCACGAGGACGCATTGTTCCCAAAGGATGATCAGTCCATTCAGGCACAAGTGAGGAA